TCGAGAGAGAGTGGTCGATGAAGGGGGCGGTCGATGTAGAGGGTGCTTAGGGTCAAGTGTCACAGGGAGGGCGGTTGATGCAGAGGGTGGTCGAATAACATCTGTGGATGAGTTAGTTGTTAGTCGGTGCAATGCGCAGTCGGTGCAATGCGAGGATATATCGCCTACCAAACAGAGAGCCAGAGAGCCAGACAGCCAGAGAGCCAGAGAGCCAGCGAGCTAAGTTGAAGCTTTTAAAGATCGTGTTGAAGGTTAATTGAGAGTGAAAATCTTGCTCGGAAGACCGTCAATAAATAGACCTTTGGCTGCACCGTGCTCCGGAGCAAAATCTCCTACGCCTTCGTCCTCGGCGTTGGTCAACTCGGAGCCGTAATCACGCCTCGGGGTACTTCCGGGAGCAGTCCTGCGTATGTATGAAGTTTGTCAGCGGTTATGTTCCTGTCACCGCTCCCCCTCCCCTGCGCCAGGAGAAAATACGCACTGGAACTTGTCGATCGCTTGCCGGCATCGCCCTTGTGAATGATGGCGGAGGGGGTGCAGTCGGCGATGCTGCTGTCGTCATGGCTGCTGCTGGTAGATTTGGAGTGCACACCATTCGATTTCCAGTCGCAGCGACGGTCGGGCTCTCCATGACTATGCGCGATACAGAGGTTGTGTCGATGAGCGGGTAGATGCCATCGTGACAGTCTGCGAAGTGAAATGTGATGTGATAGGTGGTGAGTTTCTTTGTTGAATGCGTCTTGATATTCGTAGGACCAACTGGATCCTCAATGCGGCAGCAATTTCAAGAGCGGGTGGCAGTGTTAGCGGCAAAGACGACTCTAATTCTGGCGGGTTCGCCCTGCTGGGGCATCTTGCTCGCCGTCCTGACCGAATTGGACGACCACGAGGTATTCGATGCGCTTCGGGGACCTCGGGCCCCGGGCCTGGCCGGTCTGGCGGATCTTGGAAAGAGCCCAGGCGGGAAACTTGTCGTTTTCCTTGTTGATCTGCTCGATCGTCTTCCCGGTGGCCGTGAGTCACCGGGCCTGGGTCATCTGATTGAGTTTATTTAGGTATCGTTGTCGTCGTCGATGGATGGCAGTCATGAAGGCTAGTGGTTGTGGTCGCGAGGGCAAGAGAGCGGCGTGTTTAATGTTGAGGCTCGAAGCAGGTACTACTATGTGAAAGAGAAAATCTAACAGCCGGCAATGGTTTCCGTCGAGGGTAAACCCAGGTACCTGCAAATTTGTTAGATGTGAACCTGGAAGTAAGGACAGTGCTGACAGTCTAAGAGTGACTCGCTGAGATGGGTCGTAACTGAGAGGAGCACTGTGACGAATCTCGGTCTCAGACCACTGAGAGAGACTCCTGAAGGTTAAACTTGACAACGGGGTGAGGTTCGGTGAAGCCAAAGGGTTCACAACAAGCAATGTCCAAAGGTACTGACAATCTTGCACTAGAATTGCTTACTGGAGAACTCCCAGAGTCCTCCAGAACGAGTGACTATATACTAGCATTTACACATGGTGACTTCCTGTTGCCCCGAAGTCCTTCGTACCTGGATCGCAGCGATCGTTCCGCGATTCCTCGATCCTGTTGTTGCTGCTCGCAGCGATCGCACCCCGACCACTGCGGCCACCTCCTGCTTGGTTGGTTAAACGATTGGCTAGCGGGTCTTCCCGCTTTTCCGCATGCAGCCCCTCAGCCCCCCATGGCCGCCTTACGTGGTCAGTTTGTGACAAGCACCCTTGTTAG